GAAAGTGCACGATTGACAGTTTAACGTGCTACGTATTGTAATAGGATGATCGAGGAGTTGTTATTAATTATGAGTCCAAAGTGGGTTGCGAACATTACATGTGATCGATTAGACACACTTCTATACGGAAATATGCGCCCTGACTAAACTAGAACCTACGCTCTCGCTCCTATCTTTCTGCAGTGTACAACAAGCGAGTTGTACACTAATAATAGCCGACCACTCGATATATTACTTGCACGTGGACAACAGCCATCGAACGCTTTTGTATATGTGTGTATACGATATCTGCCTGTCTATGCACGCTCGCGATAACGCTAGAGTAAGACTTCACAGGAATGTGCTGGTTACATGAATGAAAGTCGATCGCGTGTGTGTATACGTGGGCGTCGCATTCACCCTCCATTCACACCGATTTGCGCGATATATCTTGGATGTGTGTATGTCACAATATATAAAAGAGAAAGTTCGTTAACAGATGAAACAGTAAGTTTTCTTTTTTCTCCCGTCAAATTGATTCTTGCTATTCTAATTAATTGCGATCAAATTATTTATATGCTATTGAAAAGTATATCAATATAATAAAAACTATATGCTTTCTATCATTAAGTCTTGCCTCCAATAATTTCATTCGCAATTATGAAATTCTTAATTTAAGACTACTACTCTTAAATTAATCGACTGAAAGTGAACATGTTCCCTGTATTTGCATCAAAGCTCGCCATTATCAACTCTGAACAGAATGAAAAGAGCTTGAAAAAGTTTCAAGCTCAATTGAATTTTTGAATATAGATTCGACGATTGTAACGAAATAAAACCTACCAGACCCGGGAGTTAATTAAGCAAAGATTATTCTATGGGAGCACTACAAAAACGAGAGTAAAGTAATAATAGCACAAAGGTCGCGTTGATGCCCATTCATCAAAGAATACAAGCTCGTAGGTCGCCTCTATGACAATAATAGCATCTGCCTAGACTGGCCATAGGTCTCACGCGTGTGCGATGCATTGTGCAACGTGCTCCTGATTATAACTACGACGTAAAATTCACACAAGCGAAATAATTCGTCGTGTACACGGCGCGGCAGGGCGCCCTCGACTCCCATTCATAAACTGCCTTCGTGTATTACGCGCGCGCTAGTAATAGGGGTTGGCCTCCGGTAGAATATTTATAATTACGTATGCAGGAAGAGCATGTGTGCCGGTTGGAGATCAAGGACCAGTCCTCTGACCAGTTCGTTAAACAGATAGAAATCATTGAAAAATTAATGACGCGATAATGCGAAAAAAGCGACAGCTGCGATCCCCGCCGGCT